TCCCTGACAAGGAAGGGAGTTGGCCAAGAGTATCCTGGGCTGTATCACCAGGCACATAGCCAGTTGATCAAGGCAAGAGATTATCCTCCCTGATTATTCAGCACCCATTGCATTATATCAAATTCTATGTCATCCAGTTTTAGGTTCCTGATAAAAGGAAAGTTGCTGATCAAGTGGAATGCATTCAGCAAAAACTGTCATTATGAGTGCTTGCCCTTCTAGGAGAGTCATCTGGAATTGACCTTTCTCAATTTGGAGAGGAGGTGGACTCCCAGTGCCTATGGGGGTTATAGACCAGGAGATGGAGTTGAACTCTTGGCAGTGACTAAACTGAAACAGGAGTGATCCAGATTAATTAAATACACGTAGAAGCCTTTCTCCATTACTGGGGGATGGAGAGCTTATGTGGTCTTTTGTCTTCAGAGATTTTCAATTACTGACTACCAGGGACTGACCTCACAACTGAGCCTATTTTGAAGTATAGTTTTTCTAAGGGACCTCCTGAGGCCTCTTCCAGCCTGAATTACTCTGTTTCCATGATTTTTGGTAGAATTTCCAGATTCCAACTCTAGCTGGAAAGAGTGCTGTCAGCATTTTGGTGGCAATACAGGGATAACTTCCTCCTTTCTTTTAATACTGAAGATTTACTTCTCCCTGAAGATAGTCCTCAATGTTTAAACTAATCTCTCTTACTCTTGCTGTACACAAGGAGAGCGCATGGGGGGTTATTTAGATTTAGTTAAGCGAAAGTAGTATGTCCAAGGAATTGACCTTGCTTTGCTAGCTGATGGTTAACCATACAGTTTTTGGAGCTGCATTTAAACTTTTAAATGTCTTTCAGGACTTTAAAAAAAGAAATTTTTATTAAATGGGAGTGTTGTATTTCTAGAGACTTGCCCTCAGTTTATTTTCATTTTAGTTGCAGAAACAAGTAATTCTTCCTCATTGCAAGCTTGACTCATCACGTAATTATAAACAGAGATACTGTATACAAAGCTTAGGTGGCATGTGTAGGGGGATAGAATATAAGAAAATAAAGATAGTGTAGAAAGTAATCTTACCCCTGAGGAGTTGCAGCTGGGCCAATTATCAAAGATTAGGAATGGGCCTGGCTTTAACAGGCCACAGCTGTAACCAGTGAGAAGAAGATGCTATAAAAGAGTGAGGTGGCTGGGTGAGAGGGGAACTGGAGTCAGTGGCTGCTTTGTGAAGGAGAAAGAGTCAGTGCTCTGAGGAGATGTCCATGAGAAACACCAAGGAGGTATGAAACTTTTGCAATAAGGAGACAACAGTCTGGAACCCTTGCAATAAGATGACAACGGGCATGGACAGTTTTCTTCTAAGGCTCTCTAACACTACAATTTTCTAACAGTAAATCCCACAAATTAAATGGAAGAGGGGAAAAAATAGTGTTCATGCTGTTTAAAAGTGGTGATGCATATGTAAAATGAGTGAGGGTTACAGTTTCTTTCTGGTATCCATTGCTCAAGTGAGTCAGTTAAGTCTCATTTATATCAGATGGGAAAGTTGCAGTACTGTCCCTGAAAGTATCGCCGCCAGATCACTCTGATTTTCAGGATCACAGTAATTATTTACCACTGATGATTAGAAAGCCCGCATATAATAGACCACAAGTTTTAAAAACTCACTGGAGATGCCTGCTTTTGCTCACTAAGATTTTTTCCTTTAAATAATGAAATATTTCTTGTAAACTGGAAGAAGTGCCGCAAAACTGCATTATCTTAAATTTTGCCTAAGGCCTAAAGGGAAGTGTGTAATTTTCAAAATGTGATTGTATGAAGTATTATTCTTTGCAGTCATACCTAAGATTCAAAATTATATTTAGCTGAGCAATTTTAAATTGATTTTTTTTGTCTCTCTAATCATGGAACAATGAGGTCTGTGTATGTCATCACCATATTGCTACATAAAAATATTTGCTTATTCTGAGCTATTGCTTTTCTTCCCTTCCAGAGTGCTGAAATGTGCTTAGCATGGTGCTACTTTATGATTTCCTTTAGGTACCTTCTGTTTCACTCCTTTTGATAGAAATACTCTCTCCTTGGACAGCAAATGAAATTTACATGTGCTGTAAATTAAGTCAAACATGTGAAGAGATCTCTAAAAGTTCTGCAAGGTTGTTACCACTTTTCTTCTAATGGGTATTAAGGCTTGATAATTGCGAAAACCTGCTTCAAGAGCAGCTCTCTGGAGGTTTCTTCATATGCAGAATTCTTTGTGCTGCTATCAAGCAAACTTAGCTTTCTCCCTTCTTTATGCTATCCAGTTTCCTTTCCTGGTACGGGTTTGTATAATTGCTGGGACAAATTATCACTTATTTTACTAAATCCTACTGTGAACATTGGTTTTATATCTTAATGCTGAAGCGGGAAATGATAACATTTTCCTCATGGTAAATTGTATTGAATGGATGGAACTGTTCTGTGTCTGGTCATGGTGTGTTCTACTTATTACCTAGCTTGTCAGATCATCCTGTGTAAAACATCTGTTTTATTTCTAAAAATACAACAGAAGAATTTATGTTGTTTCATATTTAGGTTCAGAGTGTTTTAAGAGATGGGTCTAAGACATTTGGTTTCAGCTTCAGGCTATTGGATCAACATTTTCATGGCTTATATAAGATGAGTGAAATAAATTTGCTTGAAGGCGGTGGATTTTCTTCTTAATTTTTAAAACTTAAATTCTTACTTGAGGAAGATATTGAGATGAGCATAGGTGTCTTAAGCCATTTTGAACTCTGGAATATTATCTCTGGCTTCCTGCAGCGACTTTAAAATGGCCCATATTGTCCTGTGTTTTATGCCTTATCTGCAGTCAGGTGTTTTTGATATGTTGACCAAACTTGTGTTTGGATGCCTAAATTACTTAGGAAAAAAGCCCCAAACCCAAGGTAACTGGAAGAAGTATTAAGGCTTGAACCTGACAATCAAAATGTGGCTTGTAATGGTCACTTACTGTAATAAACAGTTGTAGAAATTAATTGCTGGAAATATTAGTGTGGTATAACCCCAACTAGCAACAAAACACCACACAGCTGTTGGCTCACTACCCCAGGTGGGATAAGAATTGGAATTAACAAACAAAGCAAAGCAAGGAATTAATTCGGTGCTTCCCATGGGTAGGCATGTCCATCCATCCCCAGGACAACCGGGGTCTGTTACACACAACAGTGACTTGGGAAGGCAAAACATCACCACTCCAAATGTCCCCTCTTCCCTCTTCTGTGCTCAGCTTTATATGCTGGTCCTGATGCCATGTGGTATCCCCTGGGTCAGCTGTCCTGGCTCTGTCCCCTCCCAGCTCCTTGTGCCTCCCCAGCCTCCTCGTTTGTGGGGTGAGGAGCAGAAATGGCCTCGGCTCTGGGTAAGCTCTGCTCAACACTAACAAAAACATCCCTGTGTATCAACAAATCCAAAACACAGCCCTATACCAGCCACTGTGAAGAAAATGAACCCTCTCCCAGCCAAAACCAGCACAAACATAAACCTTTTAACATGAATTTCTAATTTTAATTAACTATTTGCCTAATTAAAAAATGCTTCACCTTGGCATAGATGTCTTTTAAGATTTATTTACTGTCAGTGTTACAGATGCCAAAATAATTCTGAATTGAGTTATAGTTTGACTTGAACCTGTACATGTGCCTGGTGAGGCTGTGGGTTGTCAAGTGAGATGGATAAAATTCTTGTTTTCATTTTTATTTTCTTGCTCTCTTTCTCCACAAAACATGCCAAAACAGGGAAAGGGATGGGGGTGTCTACAGCAACATAGACTTAAAGTGGAATTGGGTTTGAAGAAGTTGGTTATACCAGGGTATGTTGTTACATCACTTTTGTGAAAAGAACTATTAGAAGTGGAATGAACTACACACAGGCATGATTAAAAAAAGTAGTAGTGTTGCATTTGGAGAGAACTGTGGTTGCTATGAGGATGCAGGCAGGCTTCAATTTGAAATAGTCTTTGTAGGTTGGTTGTAAAAATGGTTATTATTAGTAGAGAGGGTGAGGTCCTCTGTTGTAGGTAGTTAAATGAAATACTATCTCATGCTGAGGTTCTGTTGTTGAGTTTCTGAGAAACATTTTGTAAACTACACTTGATTTTGCAAATGACAGATAATTTATCAGGTAGAAAGTTGCCAAATGTTAAAGAAGTTTTTAAAGGGTTTGTATTTTTGCATCCATTATTCAGAGAGACTTTTTGCCCTTTTTGGGAAGCTGGAGGAAGTACAGATTCAAGTTCCACATGTCCCAAAAATCCACTAGGAAGGCAGATTTAAGCCATCAAGATCCCAGGGCAGCTCTGTTGGAGAGCCTGCCATTGTGTGACATGTTAGCAAGCACTGGGAGCATTGCCCTTCAATTCTATGTGTGACACTTTCTAGTGTCTGCTTTTATTTCTTCCTGTCTTGCTTAAAATAGAAACAACTTTAAATCTTATTTAAATATACAAATCCACTGCATTTGTTGTCAGTATGGAAGAAGGTTAACATAGTGGAAGACATTAGACTTTTTCAGTTTTCATAGACTGATTCTGCTGTCTTGGACTTCAATTACGTTTAGTAAATTTCAGTTCATAGAAAGTGTGCTTTTCTCCAGGACTTCTGTAAAAGTTTTAGTACTAGTAATATTGGCAAGAGAAAGTCAAGCCCAAAACTGGTCAGCAAGCAAGAGAAAAAAACAGAGGAAAGAAGATGAAAAAAGAATGAGTAATGTTGACAGGATTGTTCTTTAAACAGTGTGAAAGACATCAATGCGTAGTACAGAGGAAAGGAGCATGATTTTTTAAAGGGTTGAAGTAGAAGTGTATAATTCAAAATACTTAACATTCTGTCAAGTTACATAAACTGTAGTCTTGTTAAACTCATCTTTTCTTTGAAATACTAAAGGAGGTTGCTAAGGGGTGGGGGGATGTCAAATGAAATGGCTGCAATGATGTTATGCAACACAGTTAATTTCGACCTACGCTCTGCTTCTCTGCAGAAGAAGTTGAAGAAGAGTCTGAAACTACAATTGAGGTTGATTTGACTGATAAACAGAAACATCAGTTGAAGCACAGAGAGCTTTTCCTTTCTCGCCAGTATGAGTCCCTACCTGCAACGCATATCAGGTAAGAAGTAGTAAATACAATTTATCTGTGTGGATTGCCCGCCCATAGCCCATCTGCTGGACTGCTACAGCCTTGCAAAAAGGTGTCACTGATGTTAGCTGAGTTGGGCCAGGTTATCCCATGAACTGCTTTGGAAGCACCTTTGTTTTTCCCTTCTGTTGCTTGATGTTTGAGCCTTAGAAGGGACAAGAATGTCAGAGCTCTAGCTTGCCAATTGATAGCATCAGTTGATACTTCAGTGGAAAGTCAGTCTGTTATGTTTTGAAGAGCAAATTTTTTTAGTTATTCTGCTGGCCAAAGGAAGCTTGACCATTTTGTCTGGCCTGGAAAACAGCAGATGTGTTTGGAACGGAGGCAGTGACTCATTGGTCAGATCTGCAGTTTAGGGCTGCATGCATGTAAAATTAAAATTACCCCAACTTCACTAAATGTGAAGAAGTCATGACTGAGTTTGTCTAAATGTTACAGAAGCATTTGAAGTATTGTTTTAAATTGCCTTTAATGCTAATGTAGGAAGAGACTTGCTAAAGCTCAAAAAGTGTTTCTCAACTTCTTTCCGTAAATGACGTAGGTGCTCACATCACCTTCTATTTAGCAGTCAGGAAAACTTTCTTTTGTGTTGGAATGAGGAGATGATGAATCTAGAAATGGAAAAGAAATAGCGCAGTGATGGGGGGAGTCTAATTTAGTGTGAAAAAATTGCATTCTTACATGGCATTCTCAAGGAGTTTTCATTTTCTTATTACATCTAGCTTCCCTCAGCTATTTCAGACCATAAGTGTGTAGAAGTTGCCAAAAAAAGAGGTACATATTGTCCAACAGGAGAAGCACATTGTATGTTTATATTTATTTTCTCTCTTATTGGCAAATCACAAAATGGACCCACAAACATCACTGAGTCCAGCTCCTGGCCCTGCACAGCACCATTTCCAAGAATCCCACCATGTGCCTGAGAGCATTGTCCAAATGCTTCTTGAAGCCTGTCAGGCTGGTGCTGTGAGTGCTGCCCTGGGGAGCCTGCTCAAGTGCCCAGCCACCCTCTGTGTACAAACCTTTTTCTAACATCCAACCTAAACCTCTCTTGACACAATTCAGGCCATTCCTTTGGGTCCTGTCACTGGACACCACAGGGGTGAGAGGTTGCTTATCTCTCTTGCTGACAACACAAAAACTGGAAGTTGGAAATTTTTGTATTAATTTCCTGTGCTTTATTCAGCTCCTTCTACTGACTTTGAGAAAGTCATTTAACTGTCAATTTTCTGCTGCTCCAACTATAGCATGGAGATAATAATCCTGTGCAGTTTCTTTTACTTACTTTGACATTTAGATATTGAAATAAGGTATTCTCCTTGCAGAGGGAAGATTACATAGAAGAAGTATTGTAAATGTCTCCTCACCTCACAATTCAGGGAGCAAATACAATAGAGGTTCTCCAGTACATAGTTCACAAAGAAGGCAGAAAAACACGTGAATTCATCGTACATGCCACACAGCACAGCAGGCAAAAGCAGAGTGATGACTTGCATCTACTTTTCAGAACAGATGAATGTTGTAGGACTGGGCTGTCACATGTTACTAAGACCTTTAGCAGACAAATTCTGGAACAAGCTTGATGTTTCAATGTTTTAAAACTGTTTTAAAAAGAAACAAAGCAAATACACTATAAGGTATTCCTGGTGTTCCTTACTTAGGTCTTTAACTTACTTGTGTTCACATTCTGTGATTCTCAGTAGTTTTTTTAACATTTAATAATTAGCTGGTCCTCTAAAGAGGATAGAAATATTGAGGAGGTGATGTTCCTCTAGCTTTCTTCCATCAGTACTCCAGAATACTCAAGGATGTAGATATCACAGCTTCTCTGGGTGTCTGTTTTGCTGTTTGATGTCTGTTATGGTGATTTTTTTCCCCTGTCATCTATTTTGCATTTCACTTATTGAAACTTTGTCTACTGCCTTGTGTCCTATCACTACTTCTCTGAAAGGAGCCTGGTGCCATCTTAGTTATCTATCTTTGTATTAGCTAATTGAACAAAGCAGCAGAATTTCTCCCTTTAGTTGTCATACCTTAAGAGTGAACAAATCTAATTTAATATCAGCTGCAGACATGTTGAAAGTGTATTTTTTCCCAGGGTCAGCAACTGGGGGATACCCCCAGTAACCAGCTGCCTGCTGGACTTTGTATCACTCACCACAGCCTTTCCAGTCTGGTGGTTTTTTCCAAGCTTATTGTCTACTTGTCTAGTCAATATGTTTCCAATCCTCTTGAAGGACACTGCAGGTCTTGCTGAAGTCAGGCTCAATGACGTTCTCTGCTGTCACTGGTCTACCAAGTCAGTTGCCTCCATATAGAGAGCTAGGGGATATTTGTGCAATCAAAGCCAGGGTAGCTCCATGATGTTGGCCTTTGCTCTAAGTGCTTAGAGTTTTAGCCCTTAGGAGAAACTGGATTTACAGGAGTAGATGGTACAATGGTATAGAGTGGAGATAGGAGGTTGGAAATCAGTTTTCTCCAGAGTAAGAGCACAAAAACTCAACCCCTCTGGAAGGACAAGGAGAAAATTTAAGTTGATTTTAAGACAATGGAGGAGGTTTTTGACAGCTACAGATCTTGGGCTTTTCCTGACATCTTCAACCAAGAAAAGTATCTGAGACTAACTGCATTTTTGTTGAAATTGAAGGAGTAGAAGAATTTTACCTAGTATGTTTTTATTTAGTTTTTGCGTATAAGATTTTACTGCTTTTGTTTTGTCTTTCTTCTTAGGTTTCCCTTTTTATTTTTTCAAATTGAAGGGTAGAGGAAATTACTGCTACTGTCACTAAGGTTGCTTTTGTTGTAGTTCACAATTCCAAATACAGTGATATCTCATTTATACACCTCTTGCTGTTATTTCATAGTTGAAGCTCCAGAGTAACTACCTTGCAGTAATTTATTGGGTTAGATTTCTTTGATGTGCATGCCTAATTCTGGAGCTTTTTGATCTCAACTCTGGGTTTTGAATAATTCTGTTGTAATCAGTTTGCTTTTGTATTAGTGAAATAGTGTTTTATCCTGCATTCTGATATTTTTTTTGTTACATATACATTATATGTAACTGTTTTGATATGTAATTTGCTTTGTTAGAAATGCTGGGATTTTTTTAGACTTCATATTGTCTCCCCTTTAAATTAGTTGTCACTATGCCATTTCAGGGAGCAGCAAAAGTTTTGGCATAAAAAAACCCCTGGAGAGCCAGATTTAGAAAATAATTAGAAGTGGGTAGTGTAGTAATTAAGTGTGCAATGGTTCATTGTGGACAGAGCTCTTGCAGTGGAATGTGTATAGAAGGTGGAATTACCTTGCTTGCGCATGGTGTGTGGCACAGAGCAAGCTCACGTTTCAGTCTGGGGATCAAAGACAAGGCTTGTTACCTTCCTGCCTACTTGTCAGGTTACAAGTGAAATTATTGCCTCTCCTGGCTCCTCAAATGTGTGCAGGCAGTAACACCCCTTCAGTGGATTATCTGCTTCCTGCCTAATCCCTGCGTGCTGCAGATGCAGTTTTGCCAGGCTCTGTAATCCCAGTGTCCTTGTCACAGCTGTCCTGCCCGCCGGCCTCTCTGTGCCACTCTGCTTCATTAATGTCACACAGGGAGTGCGCCCAGGGTCGGTGCAGGTGGCTCCTCTGAGCATCCCAGAGAGGGACTGATGAGCCAGTGCTGGCTACTTGGGCTCTCAGGGGTTTGAGCATTACCAAATACAGCATTTTGGAAAGGCATGAAAAGTTACGGGGTGAAGAATGGTGAAAGGTGTCAGAAAGTTGAAATTATCTGCTGGTGTTGCAAAATTCACCATAAAACTTAGCATGTGTTAAAAGTGGGTTCTTGTATAAAAATCTGCTGGTGGTTCTCTTGTTGGAGATGCATTGGGTTATGAGCTTTGAGCTTTAAACTTATTTTTTGTTCTTAAGCTCTCAAGTGCTAATAGATATTCAATATGTTTAGATTGTTGTAAAAGATGCATTAGTATCGAAGTTCATTTGTAATTGCTCTAAAGTTAAATATTTCTTATGAATTGTGTAGAAGAATTTATTTATACGTCAGGGTTCATCTTACCATTTCAATATCTTTGCTTATATTTTGTTTGCTTATTTGGTGTTCCAGACTTGAAGTTGCGGGGTTTTTATGTAAGATGATGATGATGATATTTCAAGTATTTGGAAAGTATAAATAAGCCTGGCATTCTCAGATGTCTTAATAAAAGCAGGTGGGAATCTTTTGGGATGCTTTTTACAGCAATAAAAACCTCCACTCCCTTCAGGGAAAAAAAAAAGAAAATAATATTATTTTTCTTGCATTTTAATTTACATATGTAGGATATCGGTACATTATATAGATGTTTGTTATGATGGGATTTGTTCAAACAACTGCAGTAAATTTACACCCTAATCTTTAATGAGGAGTGTTTATTCAATCTGCAATTGGATAAACTAAGTGTTTATTAGGTTTTTTAGAGGATTCTATTTGTTGTTTGACATAAACAGCAAATTCAAGTTTTGTATGCACCTATGGAAGACAAACATTCTGAGCATTGTTTCTAAGATATTGTTACTCATCCTTTATTTTAAAAACTGACAAAAGGCAAAACCAAGAAAAGAGCCCTCAAAAGTATCTTAAGATGGTAATGGCTTGGTTTATTACTTCTGTTCCAGCACAGAAAGGTTTTCGTGAGCCTTTTAAAAATTGTGATTGAGTAAGATAGTTTTATTAAAAGCTGATTAATATGACTGGGGAGAATGTGCCTGTGCATATGTGATGTTAAAGAGCATCCAAACAGTCAGATCATGAGAAGACTTCTTCAATTTTTATTAAGCAATTTGTACTGTCTGGGTAAATGTACAAAAAAAGTGTGCTTAAACTTCTAAAGTACCAGTCTATAAGGGTCTTGGTTTCTCTCTTTTGACATTATTCTGAACATTAATGGAATTCAGAACACTGCATGATTTTTTTTGTCAGTTTGGTATTT